AACGGGGACGAGCAGCCGCTGACCGAGAACCCCCGGAAGTACGTCATGGGTCACTTCCGCTGGGACCGCTTCGGCCCGAGGAACAGCAGCGGCGCGGCGCAGAGGCGCGCGGAGGAGGAGGAGGATGCGGTGGCGGTGGAAGACGCTCGCGCTGAGCCCGGCCTGCGCGAGGGCAAGCGCTCCTACTCCATGGAGCACTTCCGCTGGGGCAAGCCGGTGGGCAAGAAGCGACGCCCAGTGAAGGTGTACCCCAGCGTGGCCGAGAACGAGTCGGCAGAGGCCTTTCCTCTGGAGTTCAGGAGGGAGCTGGCAGGCGAGCGGCCCGACGGCGTGGAGCACGTCCTGGAGGCCGACGCGGACGCCGAGAAGGAGGACGGGCCCTATCGGATGGAGCGCTTCCGCTGGGGCAGCCCGCCCAAGGACAAGCGCTATGGCGGCTTCATGACCTCCGAGAAGAGCCAGACGCCCCTGGTGACACTCTTTAAGAACGCCATCGTCAAGAACGCTCACAAGAAGGGCCAGTGAGGGCGCAGGGGTCTTCGCACTCCAAGCTCCCTCCCTGCATGGGCGAGCCACTCGCCACAGACCTCAAGCCTCCTAGAGCTGCCTGTAGTTAGGAAATAAAACCTTTCAGATTTCACAGACGGCTCTGACCTTCAATATAGACCGCGTGAATAAAGTCAAAACACACAGCCATCCAATGACACTACCTACCATGTGACCAGGTAGTGAAAACAAAACAAAAAACAAAACAAAACAAAAACTCTACCCACTTGTCCCAGCAAATGACTCGGGTTGGCGTGGGGGAGGCAGATAGTTTGGAGGACTCAGGGCTGTTGTTCTCTGTCCTAGGATGACTGGCCCCAAAGCAGGATTCCTACAAGAGTGACCTTAGGGTGGCACATCCAAGGTGGATTCCCCATTAGAAAGAGCTCTGGGCTGTCACTCAAGACATTCCTTGCTTGCTATGTTGAGTCCTTATCTGTGACCTCAGACAGGTCCCTGAAACCTCCCAGGATTTAGTTATCTCACTGGCCCTTCCTTCTTGGCATAAGGGCTCTAGCAAGGATAAAGGGAGAGAGAGATGCCATTATTTTATCAGGAAAATGTAAGATTTGAGAGTTGGAAGCAGTTTCAATTTGGCTAGCCGCTCGATTCACATACACTCAGGACGCATGATCTGTACACACCATGGAGATGGGTGCGCACGGTTCCTCAGGCTCAAGTCTTGAGGGCTTTGGTCTCCTACCTTGCTGTGTCTCCCCAGCTCCCCCTGTTTCTGTCCAACTTCAGTCCCTCATTCTCAAGTTCTCCCAGAAGACCACCACTATCCTAGTGCATTAACCAACTGGCCTCCAGTCGCTCTTCCACCTATGCAAATTATTCACATGAATACATATATTTAAAAAGAGCTTGTTGCTCTAATAGTCGCTGGCCCACCAACCAAAACAATGTCCCCTACATCCCAGTTTCCCATCTGTTACAAACTTTTGGGACAAAGTATGTAGAGCCCATGTCAGCCATGTTGACTCTCCTACCAAGCTTTTTAGCTCATGTTTCCTGGAATGAAGGTCCTGTCTCATGACTGTTGGTCTCATTGTTATCCTTCAGTTCTTCACTGCCTGCACCCCATCCCCAGTGCCTCCTTTCTTTCAATGCAAACCTAGGCCATTCATACTGTCATTCAGTGGCCCTGTTCATTTTCAGAGCTTCTGTAGTCACTTCCCTCTGTGCTGGAGGGCATGCTGTCTGGCCAGGATGGCAAGTTACTTGCTGTGTGTCTGTTTTGTCTCCTCTTGGAGAAACTCCAAGCTCTGTAGGCTTGTGTTACATTGCTTCTGTCTCCTTGTGTGCAGTCCTGTGTTTACAATTACAGAGGATGGACACATACCTGTTACTTACATTAGACACCCATGGGCTACACACATCAAAGCCTGATGTATTTGTTCGTAACCCTTTATATTTGTTAGGAGTCCACCAAAACATGACGAGCCCTGAAGTCCTGGAGTGAGGAGAGTCAGAAACTCAATTAAGCTGTCCCTAATGTGGGTCGTGGGAAATGAGCTAAGAATGAAGAATGGCCAGGACCCTCCTGAGGATGCTTCCTCGAGGGGAACCCTCTCTTCAGGTTTCCATCTCTGTAACATCCTCCCCACCCTCCTTCATTAGAGCCAGGTAAAGCAAAGGACAGTGGGAGTGGTGAAATGCCAAAGGCACACTGTTGATATTTTCAGATTCTGATTTTTATCTAAAACAAAACAAAACAAAAAACAGCCATTTCTTCTTAAGAATTCAAGCAGCCAGCCATATGGTGACAACATTAACATTTATTTGAAAAGGGCATCATGAAGGCTCATTGGGAAACCACGACTAATAGTCCTAAAGAATGACTTTGGAATAGTCCTTCCAACACCCACACCTCCCTGGAAGGAAAACTAATTTGATTCAACAAGTTTAAAATACAGGAACTGCCACAGGTGCCAATTCTGTACTCACATATAAATAAGTAGGCTATTATATACAACGTTGGCAACTACAAACTACATTAAACACATGCATGGACGTAGGCACATATATACTCAGCCAGGTCATGAAAGGTCTAAAAGAACTCGGACACATTGAAATGGATGGGCTTGCAGCATCTATGGGTGTTCAATTTTGTACTCCAGATACCAAAATCCACAGTCGTGAAGAGTTCAAAAAGGGCAAGAAAGCTGAGTGGTTGCAGCGCACACCTGTAGGGAGTAACCCTACCTGCCCCAGGACTATTGGGCGGGGCTAGGGTTACTCCCTACACACACCTTTAATCCTAGCACTTGGCAGGCAGATCTCAGAGTTCTCAAGAACAAGCCTGGTCTTCAGAGTGAGTTTCAGGATAACCAGGCCTGTTACACAAAGGAACCCTGCCTCAAAACACTCCCCCACCCAAAAGAAAAGGGCAAGCACTGGGCTCAGGAGAGCCTATACTCCCTGAAGGAGCCATGCTGGTGCCAGAGGGCAGCCAATGGTGCCATGAAGTTTTCCCCTCTAACCCTCAGCTTCTCATCACTCCCCCAGGTAGCCAGGAGCAAGAATAAGACCTCTCATGATTCCCCTTTTGCAGTTTTTAGATCTAGACCCAGCTTGGGTTATAGAACCATAAAACCAGACCTTTACTATGAAAGAGATAGAAGAAACAGTTCTCCTTGAACCTTACCCCCAGATTCCAGGGGACGGGACCCCTGCTTCAGTGTACTCTGATTGCCAAAGAAGGTCAAGGGAAGCCTGCCTGACCCAACCCCTGGCCCCACCTCCAAGTCTGCTTTTAAACCCAGCATTCAGACCCACAGCTCAGGGTTTCCTTTTCCCCAGACCCCAAAGGCAGCCAGCCGCTTGCTTCTTAGCAGCAACCTCTGCAGCAGGTTGGGAGGCCTAGACAATAGCAGGGCAACTGGAAGGCACCATAGCCCAGCCCCCCCCCCCAAGTCCGAAGGAACCCTAGGGGTTTCCAAATCCTACCCCAGCTAAGCTGTGATCTGTGGGACCAGGAACAGTCCATGCACAGGGTCCTGGGTCCCAAGCCCAGGATCCCCTGCTTTGTGTGTAGGTCATGGCCTGGACACAGGGACATTTATAGGTTTTTTTATGAGGTCATTGCAAAGCCACAAAACCATTTATGTCTAGTCTCCAAAGTGAAGAGGAAACAGGCTCAGTACAAGGGCTACCACAGCTGTTTCTGGATCACAGGTATTTTCTGTTAATCTACTTTTTTGTTTGTTTGTTTTTTGTTTTTTGAGACAGGGTTTCTCTGTGGCTTTGGAGGTGTCCTGGAACTAGCTCTTGTATACCAGGCTGGTCTCCAATTCACAGAGATCCTCCTGCCTCTGCCTCCTGAGTGCTGGGATTAAAGGCGTGCACCACCAATGCCCGGCCTGTTAATCTACTTCTTACACTTGTTTATGATCAACTGAATTAACTCCCAAACCTCAAACACACTCACACCCATTCGATTCAGTCAGCAGGATGCCACTCTCTGGCCCTGCAGCCTATGAAGCCAGAGCCCTGGGTGCTTTGGTGTGGTGGTAAAGGGGTGGGGACCAGGTAGCCTTAATGAGTTTGCTGGCTCCTTTTGACTCTGGTTTATAACAGAGAAGTTGAACAGAACAGAGCATGAGACCCTGCTATTAGACTCCAGAGGCTGGGGAAGCAAGGGTCTCACTAGGTTCCTCCCCCAGCTCCCACCCACTCTACTTTTGCCTCTTCCCAGCCTTGTGATGGAGTGGCAGACACTTGTGGGACCACCATCTGGATTTCCTGACTCTGAGGTATACTTGGCCAGGATCAGATTCCATTCCCTGTCAATAGGCAACCCACTATCCTACTGAATATAAACATAAACCCACCAAGAAGAGGGCACACAAGAGGCCAGCTTTCTATTTATTTTATATGTATTGTGTTCTATCTGCATGTACACCTGCATGTCACAAGAGGGCATCAGATCCCATTATAGATGACTGTGAGCCATCATGTGGTTGCTGGGAATTGAATCTCAGGAGCTCTGTCTGGAAGAGCTCTTAACCACTGAACCATTTCTCCAGCTGCCAGGGCCAGCTTTCTAGAACCTACTAAGCAGCCATGGTGTGTAAAAAAGAGGAAGTACAGAGAGGAGGATTGTGGAGCAGCTGAGTCTGCAGAATTGGAACCTTGTCCCCTTTTGTTTCCAGGGCAGGGTTGAGGAACAGAAGGATCTAAATGGGGCCTGTGTAGGCCTCTGGTTCTGATGCCTGGCTCTAGAAAGACTCCAAGCAAGTGGCTCTCACAACCCACAACGAGGGTCAAGACACCTCAGAGGTGGACACTGATGTCCACCAAGAACAAGAAAGAAACCGACCCTGGTATAAAAAATGTGGCAAGCAGGTGAAGAAAGACCTGTTTTTAGCTCAAGGTTCAGATTTTCTTAGTTTCCAAAGGGCTACTTGCCTTCGTGCTTTTTTAAAATTAGACTTCTTAATAAAGGGATATTAAGGAGAAACCTAAGTCCATGCTTATAAAATTGGATTGAGTAATAGCCACATAGCTCCAAAGTCATGGGAGGCCTCATCCTTAGGGACCTGAGATCATGCAGGCCATGCAGGAGCCATGAACCCATAGCTCAGTGCAGAGACTACGGGAAAGAATTGCATTAAAAGGAAGAAACTTATGGGGACAGGGTCAGATGGGCCCCATCTGTGACATTTACCACATGTGCAGTAGGGAAGTCCATGTGTTCCAGTTCTCCTAATTCTGGAAAATGTTCCCACCTGTGCTAGTCACCATGCAGGACCTTTTCCTAAGAAGCAAAATACCAGGCTGTGATCTGTGATCTAGAGTGTCCCAAGAAGCCCACACCCTCCTAGTAGAAATGGCTCCTTTAAGCTCCAGGTCACACTGCCTGAAACTATACCCCAGAAAGGATCCCTGCAGGTCAACAGATCCACTCCCTTTTCCTAAGAAGCAAAATCTCTGGAGGCAGCATTGGGCCTGAGAGGAAAAAACATCTCAGAAAACTCATGGGAAGTTTAAAAGGGAAAGAAAGGACTGTTCTGGACCATGGGGTGCTTCCACTGGAA